TCTCAATGGGGAAAAACTGAGAACTTTCCCCCTGATATCAGGAACACAACACAGATGTCCACTCTCACCACTGTTGTTTAACACAGTGTTGAAGACCTAGCCTCAGCAGTCAGACAATAAAATGAAATAAGTCATCCAAATTGGCAAAGAAGAAGTCAAGCTTTCACTTTTCACAGATAACATGATAGTCTACATGGGAAACCTGAAAGACTCCACCAAAAAACTGCTAGAACTGATACATGACACTATTTCAGCAAAGTCTCAGGATAAAAAAATCAATTTACAGATATCAGCTGAATTTCTATACACTGAAGATGAAGCAACAGACAGAGATATCAAGGAGTCGATCCCATAAAATACTTGGGAATAAATCTAACCAAACAGGCAAAAGATCTGTATGCTGAAAACTACAGAAAGCTTATGAAAGAAATTGAAGAAGAAACAAAGAAATGGAAAAATATTCCATGCTCATGGATTGGAAGAGCAAATATTGCTAAAATGTCGATAGTACCCAAAAAATCTATACATTCAATGCAACCCCAAACAAAATAGCATCAGTATTCTTCACAGAGCTAGAACAAGCAATCCTAAAATCTGTATGAAACCACAAAAGTCCCTGAATAGCCAAAGTAATGTTGAAAAAGAAAACCAAAGCTGGAGGCATCACAGTCCTGGACTTTAACTTTAACCTCTACTACAAAGCTGTAAACATCAAGACCGTTATGGTATTGGCATGAAAACAGACACAAAGACCAATGGAACAGAATACAGAACCCAGAATTGGACCCACAAACATACAGCCAACTAAACTTCAACAAAACAGGAAAGAGTATCCAATGGAAAAAAAACAGCCTCTTTAGCAAATGGTGCTGAGAACTGGACAGCAACTTGCACAAGAATGAAACTGGGCCACTTTCTTACACCATACACAAAAATAAACTCAAAATGGATGAAAGACCTAAATGTGAAATAGGAAACCATCAAAATCCTACAGGACAAAACAGGCAACAACCTGTTTATTTGACCTCAGCCACAGCAAATGCTTATTTGACACGTCTTCGAAGGCAAAGGAAATAAAGGCAGAAATGAACTACTGGGACCTCATCAAGATAAAAACCTTCTGCACAGCAAAGGAAACAATCAAAAAAAACTAAAAGGCAGCCGACGGAAAGGGAGAAGATATTTTCAAGTGATGTATTGGATAAGGGTTAGTATCGAAAATCTATAAAGAACTTATCAAACTCAACACCTGAAAAACAAATAATCCAGTGAAGAAATGGGCAGAAGACATGAACAAACACTTTTCCAAAGAAGACATCCAAATGGCTAACAGGCACATGAAAAGATGCTCAACACTGCTCATCATTAGGGAAATAACAAATCAAAACCACATTGAGATACCAGCTCACACCGGTCAGAGGGGCTAAAATTAACAACTCAAGAAACAACAGATGTGGCAAGGATGTGGAGAAAGAGGAACCCTCTTGGGCTGTTGGTGGGAATGTAAAATGGTGCACTCATTCTGAAAATAGTGTGGAGGTTCCTCAAAAAGTTAAAAATAGAATTATCCTGCGATCCAGCAATAGTACTTCTAGGACTTTATCCAAAGGATACAGGAATGCTGATTCATAGGGGCACATGTATCCCAATGTTTATAGCAGTGCTATCAACCACAGCCAAATTATAGAAAGAGCCCAAATGTCCATCAACTGATGAATGGATAAAGAATGATGTAGTGTGTATATATGAGCATGATGCTACATAAAACTATAAAACACTTTTGCACAGCAAAGAAAACCTATGGGCTAGGAAAAAATATTTGCAACTATATGATAAAATGTCAACCTAAAAACTACACAAAGAATTTTCATTTATCTCAATAGCAAAAATACCTAAAAACTATGACTGAAAAATAGGCGGAGGATCTGGATAGATATTTTTTCTAGAGAGGACATACAAATAGGCCATGGGTACATGAAAAAGTATTCAGCATCACTAATCATCAGTGAAATGAAAATCAAAACCACAATGAAGTTTCACCTCACACCTGTTACAATGGCTATTATCAAAAATACAAGAAATAAGAAATGTGAGAGAAAAGAAAAACCCTGATGCACTGGTGTTAGCAATGTAAATTAATGTGGCTGCTACGGAAAACAGTACAGAGGTTCCTCAAAAATTTAAAAATAGGGGCATCTGCGTGGCTCAGTTGGTTAAGCGTCCAACTTCAGCTCAGGTCATGATCTCATGGTTCACAAGTTCAAGACCTGTGTTGGGCTCTGTGCTGACAGCTCAGAGCCTGGAGCCTGCTTCAGATTCTGTGTCTCCCTCTCTCTGCCCCTTCCCTGCTCATACTCTTTCTTTCTCTCTCTCAAAAACAAACAATAAAAAAATTTTTTTTAATTTAAAAATAAAACTACTTTATGATCTAACAATTCCACTTCCGAGTCTTTACCCAAAGGAAACAAAATCACTATCTTGAAAAGATATCTAAGCCACTATGTTCACTGTAGCATTATTTATAATAACCAAGACATGGAAAAAATGTAAGTGTGCACTGATGTACAGATAAAGAAAATGTGCTATGTATATATACATACACACACAATGGAATATTATTTGGCCATAAAAAGGAAATTCTATTTGCAATAACATGGATGAAGCTTGATAGCATTATGCTAAGTGATGTAAGTCAGCCAGAGAAAGACACTGTATGACATCACTGACATGTGGAATCTTTAACAAACAAACAAACAAACAAAAAACATCTCAAAGATACAGAGAACACAATGGTGGTTGCCAGAAGTGAGGCATAGTGTGGGAAAAATGGGTGAAGGGAGTCAAAATGTACAAACTTATAGTAATGCTCAATAGTGATAATACTGTAAAGTCGCTAAGGGAGTAAATCTTGAAAGTTCTCATAAAGAGAAAAAAGATTTTGCAACTATGTGTATTGATGATGTAACTAAACTTACTGTAATAATCACTTCCCAGTATATGCATATGTCAAATAACTATCTTACACAACTAAGACTAATAAATGCAATGTTATATGTCAATTATATCTCAAACAGTTTTTTAAATGGGTACACATTTCTAATAAACAATTAGGAATATAAATCTACAGCTGAGGAGTAACAGGACTAGACATGGGAAAAACTGATTACAGCTGGCAGCTAATCTACAGAGCCAACACAAGTTATGGTAATACACAAGCAATGGTTCTCATCCTAAGAGATCAGCACTGAGGTTGGAAATATAAGGTAAGGGTCAGAAACCTGGCATTTCCACTAGCTACCAGTTAACAACTCTTTGGAGTAGTCTGATTAAGATGGTGGGGTCTTTTGTAGAAAGGACAGTATATGCACTGAGGCATTTAAAACAAAATTTTAAAAATTACCTGTGTCCCAAATAATTCTGAAGGCAGTGAATGTGTCTTCAGGCCACAAGTCCACTAGGCCTGGGGAAGTGTAAGAAAAGGTGAAAGAGATCGGAACCATAGAGAACACTAACATTTGAGATGGCAGCAAAGGAAGAAGGCAGCAGTGAGCGCAGAAAGCGTTCCGTCACTGAGGGAGGCAAAAGTGGCAAGGAGAGAGGTGAGTGCAGGAAATGCTCCTGAAAGTGAGCAGGAAGGGGAATGCAGATGAGCCCACAGGATTAAGCGGTGGGGAGTGGGGTCACCCCTGAGCAGAGTGGCAGAGGCAGAAGCGACTCAATGAAGTCAGAAAGGAATAAAGGTGAGAAGGGGAGAGAGTTTAGAGGAGGAGGCAAAAAGAAGAACAGAAATAGGACAATGCCATAAAGGGGTGGAAAAGGCCAAAGACTACTTCGGCTTCTAATGTTTGTTTTTGTAAAGTCTGAAGACGCAGGAGTGAAGACTTTGACAAAGTCAAAGTTAAGAAGGCAGGAAAGGATGAAGCGGAAGGAGTCATGGTAACTTATAAAGAAATGGTCCCTTTTGACTTAAGAAAAAACAAAATAAAACAAAACAAGATTACTAATGTTTGGAAGGGAAAAGAGAAGACGTCCATACCTGCTGGCACCTACTTTCCGGGCTCTGGGAGGCATCTGCTAAGTATAAGTTAGGACCTAAAGAAAAGTTATTAGCAGCATGAAAAGCTCATTGGAAGAAATGTATGCAGGAGACAAAACAGGAACAAGAAAAAGATAGCGGGGTACGATGAAAGCTGAACTGAGGTGGAAATTAATGCAGTTCTGCAATTTTTTCCCACCAATGCTTAGTACTGAAACAGCAGGAATAGAGAAAGCAGAAGCCTGGATGGGTCCAGAAGAAAAGTCTGGCACAGAGACTGAAGCAGGTAAAATGCCAGGCAATCCACGAGAAACACAACAGAAAAGTGGCAACAGAAGAGTCTGGAAGGAGGAAACAGTGGCCATCAGGTGGGGCCTAGAGCAGTGGGCAAATATAAGGACGGATTAAAGAGGACCCCAGGGGAGCCATATGAGTGTGAAAGCAGGTTCAGAAAGAAATGAGGTTGAAATCACGAGCAGGACTTTTTAAATCTAAGACTGTCTTGCACAGAATAAGTCTGAGTGATCTGCTTCTGGCCATGTAGGATTAAGTTGGAGAAGTAAAGAAACAGGTTACTCAAATATCCCACAGAACTTTAACCCCGAGGTGTTAGTTGAGTGTAGATCTGGAAGTGGATGCCAAAGACCCTGAAGACAACCTTGAAGGAGATCCTAATTCCTCAACAGATGTGAGAGAGAACCTGGATGTCAGTAAATCTTTATGGCTAAAGATGGGAGAGAATAATGTTTAAGAAACATACATTTCAAGGGATAAAGGCAATCAGACTAAGCACTACCATGGTGGGGAGTAGAGATTAAAATTCTGCCTCTTGGTTCCCCGTAAGTTAAGGCAAGAGAAAATGAGATAACTGGCTGAGAAAATAATTTTAATGGAAGCAGGGATTTCCATCATATAAGAAAACAGTCCCTAGAATCAAGGAGTTTTCTAGACACATCATACATACCAGGTCTGAAATCATGTCCCCAGTGGCTACAGCAGTGAACTTCATCCACAGCAATTCGGGTAAATCTCCTCGCTTCATAGGCTTTCTCTAGTCTTGACATGAACATTTTGCTTTTTGCAATTTTCTCTGGAGTCACATAAATTAGCTTTAGCTTGGAATTTTTATTTACCATTTCAGCATGAACCCATTTCACATGCTCCTGTTGGAAGGAGAAACAGACATAATGACGGAACTGAGCTAGCCAGTGGGGATGCTAAGTGGTAACTTAAGACGCTCATTACTCAAAGCAACAGCCTTAAACTGTTTTAGCAGATGTTGAGTTCATTAAAATTGTGACCATGTCCCAGTACTAAACTTCAGGGTAGCTGTAAATAGCATTTTAGTTATTTACTTATAACCAAATATTGATAAAAGAATAATCTCATTTGACAAAAAAGAGAAAAGTAAAAATGAAAACACTCCAATAGGCATTTACTCTATGAAGACATAATTCTAAGTTGTTCATATAAATGCCAAAATATGAGCTAAATGCAATAGGGATGGTTATAAAGTTGGGTTTTATTAATTTTAACATTGTATTTGTGATCTCTTCATGTATCTGAACAAAATCTATTCTTTATTAGCTACTTTAATGATGCTATCAAATCTACGCAATCTCTTTAGGTTTTATAAAGTATCCTATTCATTGAATTATGATTTTATAAAATAAAATATATACTTATATATAATAAAAAATAAATCCTAAAAGCTCACAGTTATTAGGTTCTTAGTGCTCTATTTCATAAAATATTTAGCACATTAGGTGTCATATTTTTCCTTCTAACCTAATTAGGACCAAAAGAAGTGTAAAGAAACAATGGTGAACGTGATGGACAAAGTCCAAACTGCTTTCAGTATCCCAGCAAAACCATTTGCTAATTCCTTAAGATATCCTTAAGTTTTTTAAGGAATGACTAAAGTACATTAAACATTTCAACTGGTCCTAAATGTCTCAGAAATCTTAGGGGAGCAAACATAAGGCTATTTCCTCAGAGATGGAGGAGTTAAAAAAGAAAAAAAAAAACACCAGAATTTCTGGCAAAGTGGAGCAGCAAGGTTAAAAAGATTTGTATTCACATCCTATGAACTGCTAGTGAAAGCAAACAGAAATTTGGAATTGACCTATCCCTTCTCTTTATTTTCTCTCCAACTTTTCAGTCGTGATACAGTTCAAATTATTACTATTTTTCAGTGTTAAAGAAGTACAGTATTAGAAAGCAATGTTCTCCACATTCACCCATTGAATAAGAGAGCAGTTAGGACATGACAGTTTCAATAAAATAGAAATAGATGGGAAAAACCAAGGAACCAGGGCTACCTGGAGATATGGCTGATGCCAGGTCTGAGAGGAAATATGCAAACTGAGCATGGAGTAACTTCACAAAAAAGCAAGGAGTCAAAAACTATGGGATGAAGAAAAAAGATTCAGGAGCCAACTTGAAGAGATGCTCACTGCTCAAAGATGGGGCTATTTCAGCACAAAAAACAATAATATGGATTAAGATCTATCAAATACGCTAGATACTCGTAAGTTGATAATGATACTTAAAAAAAAAAAAAGATCTTATTGACTACCTTTGGAGAATGCTAAGAAAACAACTCTCTGACAACTGGGAAAGAATGGGAAACAATTCTCAACCTGCAAAGGTTTATAAGGAAAAAGTTCTTTATAGAAAATGCCTAGCTAATAAAAGAAGGAGTGACAGAAGGAGAAATCACCACTTTCTAAGCCCCTAACTAGAGCCGTTACTTAAAGGCAGGCAATAATCATCAGTGGCTTTAAAGCCAATAGATGAAAAGGGGACAAAGAACTTGATAATAACAGAACAAGCAGTTATCACCTGAACCCACTGACCAAACTTAACATCACACAAAATAACCAGGTTATGATGTACCTCCTACTTATGCCATGGGGAATAAAGTCTTGAAAAAGAAAAGACCAAATACAGTCACGCTTTTAAGTCTAACTAAAAATAACAAGTTAAACAATATCACAAGAAGGTTATCAGAAAAACCAGAATGTAGCAAACTAGAAAAAGACCTTAGTTTCAATAAAAAAATTAAATTTGCATCAGGAAACAAATAAGAAATAAGGGGAATCTACAGAGAGATCAACAAAATACAACATAATGCATGAATTTATTCTGGACCGTGATTTTAAAAAAGAAAAGTAAGATTTGATGAGACAAAGGAATGTGAATTTGTTTGTTTTGTTGTTTGTTTATTCTTGAGAGAGAGAGAGAGAGAGAGAGACAGAGAGCAAGTGGGGCAGGGGCAGAGAGAAAAGGAGACACAGAATCCGAAGCAAGCTCCAGGCTCTGAGTTGTCAGCACAGAGCCCAACACGGGGTTCGAACCCAAGAACTGTGAGATCATGACCGGAGCCAAAGTCAGATGCCCAACCGAGCCACCCACGTGCCCCAAAATGTGAATATTTTTTAATGTTTTAATTTTTGAAAGAGAGAGAGAGAGAGAGAGAGAGAGAGAGAGAACGAGCAGGGCAAGGGCAGAGAGAGAAAGGGAGACCGAGGATCCAAAGAAGGTCCACACTGTCAGCACAGAGCCCGATGGCAGTCTCGAACCCACAAACCCTGAGATCATAACCTGAGCCGAAGTCAGATACTTAACCAACTGAGTCACACAGACACCCATTTACTTGATGATTTTAATGAATCAATATTAAATTGTTTTAGGTATGATAATGCCATTGCAATTATTTTTTTTCTGATATATATTAAAGGAGTTACAACTAAAATGATATGATATCTGGGAACTGTTTCAAATAAATAAACCAAGGGGAGGAGGCAGAGAAAATTCCAGGCATATAATTGAAAAAGGATTGGTCATATGTTGATAAATGTTAAAGGTGGTTAATGGGTACTTACAGTTTTATTATGATTCTCTCTACTTTTCTGCACTTTAGAAAATTTCAATAACATCCTTTTTAAAAAAGAATAGTTGGGAAATGCTTATTCAACAGATGAAAGAGAGTCCATTCCGAAACCAAAAAGATTCCATAGGGACAGGTTATCTTGTTAGTAGTGCACCATTTATATTTAATAATATTGTATAATTAGGAATTCTTATTTACTATTTTCTAATAGATAAATAATATAAAATAGCTCAGCTGATGTTAACTGTAAAGTGCCAGATAGTAGATACTATTAGGTTTTGTGGGCCATACAGTATCTATCACAACTATTTTGCCATTATTGTGTGAAAACAACACATAAATGAACAAGCACTGTTGTGTTCCAATAAAACTTTACAGACTTCCTTATAATTTTCACACTTCACAAAGTTTTATTCTTTTAACTTTTTTTTAACCATTTAAAAATATAAAAACCAGGGCGCCTGGGTGGTTCAGTTGGTTGGGCATCCAACTCTTGATTTCAGCCCAGGTCATGACCCCAGGGCTGTGGAATCAAGCCCTGTGTCAGGTTCCGTGCTAAGTGTGGAGACTGCCTAAGATTCTCTCTGTCTCTCCCTGTGCCCCTCCCTTGCTCATGCTCTCTCTCTCTCTCTCAAATAAACCAAATTAAATTAAAATATATAAATATAAATGTAAAAACCATTCTTAGCTCACAGACCATATAAAAATAGGTAGTAGACTAGAACTGGCCCATCAACAGTACTTTGCAACTCTTGATATAGTTATTAGCTTATAATTTTATAACCAATTCAATTGTAACCAAGGCTCCTACTTTAGTGAAGAGTTTGGATTTTAAAAACAGGGCGTGCCTAGGTGGCTCAGTTGGTTAAGCATCCAACTCTTGGTTTCAGCTCAGGTCATGATCTTTTTCATGGGATTGAGCCCCACTTCAGACTCTGTGCTAAGAGCATGGAGACTGCTTGAGATTATCTCTCCGCCCCTCTCCCAAACAGGCATTCACACTCTCTCTCTCTCAAAATAAATAAACTTAAAAAACAAATGAAAAAAAAAGAACCACAGAAGCATACCTTAGGACTAGAAGCATTTAACATGGTAGCTGAAATTCCTAATTGTTTTAAAACCATTAACTGGTCTTCCATAAGAGAGATCAATGGGCAAATCACAAGGGTAAAACCTAAAAGAGAAAGTATCTACTTTAAATTTTATACTACCTCCAGAATGACTTTCAACCACTCACCTGAGGACATCACAACATCAATATGCTACCTATTTTTTACCCTCATTAATAGAGGAGATAGATATAAATAAATGATCATTAGTCAAATAAGCAGATATAAGATTAGAGAGAAATCTCTTCCCTCATTCGTTACTATAAAGATAAAAATAGATATGATTGTGAATTTTTACTTTACTATCATTTTTAACAATCAGTACTGGTAACCTTAGCAAAATAACATAAATCAAGTCAAGTAGTAAGCAGTTATATCAGAAAAAAGTTATTCCAAAGTTTCCAAACATAAGTAACCCGTATAATTAAGAATGATAGTTACAAGACTATTCTTCCACTTACTGTACCAGATTAATATATGCCACATAGAAACCAGTGAACATTTATTGACTGGATGAAATTCTGATAGTGTCCCCTTTCTCTTATTATTGAAATTGTGCACAGCTGTAAGAGCTATTCTACATTATTAAAATCACTGACCTTATGTTTCTATAGTTTGTTCCTTAAAATAAACCAGAGAGCAGACCAATTAAAAAATATACCAAATTCGGACTTTATCAGGGATTTTGACATCTCAAATAGTCTCTCTGCTGTATTTTCACATTCTCCCTCATCAATGATAACTTCACATTACATTTAAACACAGGCAAGCCTCTCTCATCTTTGAAAAACCCTGGATACCTAATTTAGGGTCCCCTCTCTTTTTCCCTTCACAGCAATTCTTTCCAAAGAATGTCCTATTCACTACCTCCCCTTCCTCAACTCATCTTCCCTCTCTCTCCATTACCATGTAAATTATGTCTCCAAATGTAACCTATTTCAGTGAACAATTTGTCCCAGCCTAGAATTTGGGCAACATTCTAGACTATCCCTTTTCCTACCCCCAATCCAATGAATACCAAGTCCTACTGAATCTACCTCCTAATTATTTCTGGAATTCCTCCATCTTCTAAACCACAATTCTGGCAAGTCTCTTACCTATATAAAACCCTTCAATGGTTTCCCACTCATCTAAGGAAATTTTTATAATATCTTTCAAGACTCCTTCCATGTGCTTGCCCCTCACTGCCTGCCACACTGAAATTCTTCCAGATTATTGATACTCCCTACCATGCATGTTCTTACTTTTGGGCTCTCAGAAATACTGCTCCCCTGCGTGAACATTCTTCCTTCCGCTCCTGTCTATCTTTGCCTACTTATCCTTCAGCTTTCAGCTCAAATGCCACTTGCTCAGGACAGCCTTCTCTGGACAGTCCCTAGACCAGATCTTTGCACTGACTTAATTCCCTATTAACACCTTTATCATGGGACACCTGGGTGGCTCAGTTGGTTAAGTGTCCAACTCACAGTTTGTGAGTTCAAGCCCCGCATTGGGCTCTGTGCTGACAGCTCAGAGACCGGAGCCTGCTTTGGATTCCGTGTCTCCCTTTCTCTCTGCCCCTTCCCTGCTCGTGCTCTCTCTTCTCTCTCTCAAAATAAATAAATAAATAAATAAATAAATAAATAAATAAATAAATAAAATTTAAAAATTAATTAATTAAAATAAAAAAACCTTTATCACAAAACTTTTATTGCAATTGCCTACAATTACCTCTATTTTCTAGTCCAGGTATCAATAATCTAAGAACTAGCTGCTTGTTTGAGTAAATAAAGTTTTAATAGAATACAGGCATATCCATTTGTTTCCATGCTGTCTATGGCTACTTTTGTACCCCAATGGCAGAGTTCAGTAGTTGACACAGAGACCATATGAACCACACCTATCACATTTACTGACTGCCTCTCTAAAGGTAAGTTTGCTGACCCCTCTCTATCTATACCACTGCTAGTCCCCAAAGAGCAACCCAGTACCTGGGAGCTTGTTAGAAATGCAAGATCTTGGGTCTCACACAAACTCAGAATCTGCATGTCAGTCATGTCACCAGTAATCCTTACACACATTATAGTTTGAGAAAGTTCTGCTTTACACTATGAGCTCTGTGAAAACGAGAACCTTGCCCATTTTGCTCACTACTGTTATCTCCAGTGCCTAACACCCCTAGCTGACACTCAATAAAGATCTGGGACTAGACTCCAGGTCTACAGATTCCTTTTCTAGTACTTTTTGTCCCACAACATGTTTTTTAATTATGTTTGAAGAACCATATAAAAGAACCAATTCTGCTCAAAGTCTTTAACATTCCCTCTTTAAGTGAACCTTTTAAAATGTCTATTAACATTAAGATAAATGAAATTAAAAATGCACTTGATTTATACATAAGTATGGTTAGAAATTATTTTTTTTAAGACTTAAAAGAGAAATTCCTTGGGGTGCCTGGGTGGTTCAGTCGGTTGAATGTCCGACTTTGGCTCAGGTCATGATCTCATGGTTCATGAGTTCAAGTCCACGTCAGGATCTGTGCTGACAGCTTGGAGCCTGGAGCCTGTTTCAGATTCTGTGTTTCCCTCTCTCTGCCCCTCCCCCACTCGTGCTCTGTGTCTCTCTCTCTCTCTCAAAAATAAATAAACATTTAAAAAAAGAGAGAAATTCCTTTGTTCAACTTAAAACGAATCTTTATTAATACATACCATCTGAACATAATGCTGGTAACTGGTAGCATAAGCTCTTTCCACCTCCTGTAGGCATAACAAGAAATACCTCCTTTCCAGACATAGTTACATTAATAGTTTCAAGCTGAAGCAGTCTGAACCTCTGCAGTTTAAAGACATTTTGCAGAACCTCTTTAACTTTACCAGACCAGGGAAAATCTAGACAAAAAATAATAATAAAACAATAATAATAATAATAATAAGCCAAATATATTAGAATTATTTAGGATTATAAATGCAATACAAACGTACGTGGCAGCTTTTATATTAGAGAAAAGCAGTTAAGAATTTATGTAAGTTTTAATATTACTGACAATTTAACCTTTATACTGACAATTTTGAGATTAGTTTAACTCCGAAGCTTAGGCAAAAAGATTTAATGATATATAGTAAGAAACAATCCATCAGAAAAAATGAAAACATTTGCCAGTTGAGAATTAACCTACATAGAAGAGGAAGGTCCTTGACCAGGCATTTGAAAACCAGTCTGATTGTTGATCAAGGAATTCATAGTATCATAAAAATCTCAAATACCGTCAAGTTAACAATTATGCGGAGTTTTTTATGTAAATATCTTGTTTAGAAGCAAATCCCCTGAAAAGCAAGGGCTACAAAAGCACTGTAACGAACTCCAGTATAAGTGATAGTTCATGATAAACATGAGACTTGGCAAGATCTTGAATCAAGGAAGGTGTTCACTAGGGCAGGAAAATGAACTAGACTTTGGCAAGTTTGAATTTTTTTTAATTGTTTAACTTTTTTCTAATTAAAACTTAGAAAATTTAGTAAAAAATCTTCTTTTTCCAAGCATTGACTGATGCTGCTAGAACCATATTTGGAGGGGCGCCTGAATGGGTCAGTCAGTTAAGCGTCCGATTTTGGCTCGGGTCATGATCTCATGGTTCGTGGGTTCAAGCCCTGCGTCAGGGCTCTGTGCTGACAGCTCAAAGCCTGGAGCCTGCTTCGGATTCTGTGTCTCCTCCTCTCTCTGTACCCCTCCCCTGCTCATGCTCTGTCTCTCTGTCTCTCTCTCTCTCTCAAAAATAAACATTAAAAAATTTTTTTAAAAAAGAACCACATTTGGAAAAAATAATGAAGTGTGAATAATAAAAGCTTCATTCAAAAAGAACATGGGCAAAGAATGGTTTGCCTACTGGTTTCCCATGCACTTAAGGAACAGCCAGTTTCCCTTCCAAGTGCCTAGAAAGCACTGATCCAGGAACAATGATTTAACTCCTGTGTAAAGAAACAAGCAGAAACAAGACTAGCAAACAAAAACAGAGCAAACCTTCTTTATTCCAAGCAGCAGGTGAAGAATCCCATTCACTGCTTTCTCCAGCATCAGAATCCTCAAAATGCTGCTTTATTTGGTTTGTTAGGATATTCTTTTTCTGAATAAGCTCTTGTTGCTTTTCCAGAAGTTCCTGAATTTGAATGTCTACTGCATGTAGCTCATTGGTTACAGACTCCAATTCTTCAGTTAGAGCTATGAGGAAGGAAAAAAAGATGCAATAATTAATTAGTTTTAGGTATCTCTGTTGATTTTTGGCTATTCCTCACCATCAGAATTACAGACAAACTTACAGTAGTAGAGTAAGGTGGTTAAGAGCATGTGTGCTAGAGTCACATAGACCTAAATTTTAGGTCCTCCTCTTAGCTCAGGCTAAGCACTAAACCAAGCCTCAATTTCCCCATCTGTACAAGGGGACAATATCTAGCTTTCATAGTATTGTTTTAAAGAATTAAGTGAGATAATATATGGAAAGTTTTAACATAGTAACTGGCACATAGTTATGCATTTAATAAATGATTATTATATTTACTGTGTTGTAGGGCAGTGGTCCAACAGTCTCCTAAGTCATTTAAGTGACCAAACTTTGAAACAAAAGGAAGCTTTTTTTTTGCTAATTTGAATCCAAGGTAGTTAACATATAATGCAATAATGGTTTCAAGAGTAGAATTTAGTGATTCATCACTTACATATAACACCCAGTGCTCATCACAACAAGTGCTCTCTTTAATGCCCATCACTCATTCAGCTCATTGCCCCACCCACCTCCCCTCCAGTAACCCTCAGTTTATTCTGTGTATTTGAAAGTCTCTAATGATTTGCCTTCCTCTCTGTTTTTATCTTATTTTTCCTTCCCTTCCCCTATGTTCATCTGCTTGTTTCTTAAACACCACACATGAATGAAATCTTAATTTGTCTTTCTCTGACTTACTTCGCTTAGCATAATATACTCTAATTACATCCATGTTGTTGCAAATGGCAAGATTTCATTCTTTTGATTGCCAAGTAATATTCCATTGTATACATATACCACACCTACCTTATCCATTCATCAGTCGATGTACATTTGGGTTCTTTTCATAATTTGGCTATTGTTGATAGTGCTGCTATAAATACTGGTGTGTTGTGCTTCTTCAAATCAGCATTTTTGTATCCTTTGGATAAATACCTAGTAGCGCAATTGCTGGGTCATAGGGTAGCTCTATCTTCAATTTTTTGAGGAACCTTCATATTGTTTTCCAAAGTGGCTAGACCAGTCTGCATTCCCATCAACAGTGCAAAAGGGTTCCCCTTTCTCCATATCCTCACCAACATCTGTCGTCTCCTGAGTTGTTAATTTTAGCCATTCTGACAGGTTATGAAGTAGTATCTCATTGTGGTTTTGATTTGTATTTCCCTGATGATGAGTGATATTCACCCCATAACTACTTAGCTATTATTTCATGAAAACATATTTGGGTTCATATGTTGGCAAGATAAGGCGTTGGTGATTATAAACAAGCTGATGTAACAATTAAAAGAAAAATTGAGTGTGCTACTGGAATTGACATTATAAGTCCATCATCACTAATTTATAAAGCAGACTTAATGTATGATTCTAATCAATCCGAGTATTAAAGTCAAAGTGAGATTCCTTTTGACACCATACCAATAGAAACCAAAAATTTTTAAAGATGTCCTTGATGCTCTCTAAAACATCAGCCTGCTTTAATCAGTGTCCAGCTTTAATGCCCCAAATTTTCATAAGATGAAATCTCAAGGCTATGATTTAAAATAGGATGTTATGGTGTTTTTGTATTATGCCAATACCAGAATTGCTTTCCCTGCATGATTCTGGTTAGGATTGGTCACAAGTGAACTCTGCTTCAGACCTGGAAGGTAAAAATGAAACAGCAGTCAGGTTTACATTCAGATGGTTGGCATAATGTCAGGTGCTGCTGGGGCTCATTCACATTGTCATGGATCTGCTGCTTCACCTTCCTGGCATAAAGCAGAACCCAGTTCCACCAGCTCCTACTGAACCTCTTTGGGGCAGTAGCTTGGCCCACAGCTTCTTCAGCTTCCCTGAATCCCTGGCCATGTTCTTGTGCAATTTTCTATGGCAAGTGTACTAGCTCTTCTGCAGGGCACCAGCATCTGGAGTCAGAGCCTTGGAGGCGGTTACACAACCAACACAAGTCCAAGTGAAAGTCCTCCTGGGTTTGAGCTCATCTTTACCCTCCCACACTCCATCTCCATCTTCCCGTTCCTACTGCTGGCACTGCTGACTTCAGGACTAGCAATGGACTGCTTAACCAGGCCCCATGATCATACAGGAACTGATCCCTACAATAAATCCCTTAAATCACTCATGATTCAGCTTCTCTGAGTGAACCCTAACCAATACCAAATGTTGTTCCAGAGGAAAAGAAACTTAAAAGCAGGTTCTCTAAATTGCTTCTATGCCACCTAGAATAGTCTCTGATCTGATTAGATTTAAAGGCATTAATGACCCTTGCCTGCAGTTCAATTGGTATTCCATGGCATGTAGTAGACAAAGTTACTTAGATTACAATCTAGACACCAGTAATTAAGTATCTAGAGAGGGAAAGGCTCTGGGTGACCAAGTGTTTGCTGTCACACAATATTTCTGTTGAGAATAACGAGGTTGACTGGCCCCTCCTAAATATGCTGAAAAACCTGAGAGAAATGTAGGATCTGTATAAAGGAACCTCAAAGTCTCTATGATTGTCCCAGAAGAACCCCTTATCTCCTATAGGTACTGGGCCAAGACTACCAAATGTCAAAAGCCAATACAGGCTGAAAGTTAGACCTCTTAAGTCAGTTAGCTGAGTTGTGAATGGAAGGGAAAAGTTCTGGAAGGAAATTAAAAGTACTATTCCAGTAAACGTATGAAACGTAAGAAAGGAAAACAGCCTTAATGCTGATATGAAGAGAGGTTTAGTAATCCGAACAGAAGATCACACCAGCCACAACATTCCCCTAAGCCAAAGCCTAATCCAGAGCAAGGCCCTGACTCTCTTCAATTCTAGGAAGGCTGAGTGCTCACTTTGGCACCACATTTACTAAAATTCTACGAAAGCTCAGAAAGGTGAGGAAGGTGAAGAAAAGTTTGAAGCTAGTCGAGGTTGGTTTGCTAGGTTTAATCTCCACAACATAAAAGTGTTAAGCAGCAAGTGTTGATGTAGAAACACCAAGTTATCCAGAAGATTTAGCTAAAATAGTTAATTAAGGTGGCCACAAGAAACAACAGATTTTTACTGTAGCCTTCTACTGGAAGATGCCATGTAAGACTTTCATAGAGAGGAGAAGTCAATGCCTGGCTACAAAGCTTCTAAGAACAGACTGACTCTCTTGGTAGGATCTAAAGCAGCTGGTGACTTTAAGTTGAAGCCAATGCTCATTTATAATTCCAAAAATCATAGGGGCAAGAAGAATTATGCTAAATCTATTCTGCCTGTGTTCTATAAGCCTGAATCTATAATTATGCACATCTGTTTATAACGTGAGTTATATTTGAGCTCTATTTGAGCCCTAGGGCTCAGAAAAAAGATTTCTTTCATTGACAATGCACTGGTCACCCAAGAGCTCTGATGAAGATGTTTAAAGAGATTCATCTTGTTTTCATGCCTGATAACACAACATCCATCTGTAATTCATGGGTCATTTACTTTCAAATCTTATTATTTATAAAATACATTTCATAAGGCTATAGCTGCCACAGATAGGGATTGCTCTGATGGGTTTGGGTAAAATCAATTGAAAACCTCTGGAAAGGATTCATCACTCTAAATGCCATTCAGAAAATTCATGATCCATGGGAAGGTGTCAAAATATCAACATTAATAGGAATTTGGAAGTTGATTCCAACCCTCATGGATGACTTAGAGGGCTCAAGATTTCAGTGGAGTAAGTCACTGCAGGGTTAAGCGTCCATCTCTTGGTTTCGGCTCAGGTCACAATCTCACGGTTCATGAGTTCAAGTGCTGCACTGGCTCTGTGTTGACAGTGTGGAGCCTGCTTGGGATTCTCTCTCTATCTGTCCCTCCCCTGCTCATTCTTTCTCTCTCTCAAAATAAATAAATAAACTTAAAAAAAAAAAGTGGAGCCTGAAGATGTGACTGAATTGCTGCCATCTCATGATAAAACTTTAACAGAAGTTAAATGAACAAAGAAAAGTGGTTTCTTGAGATGGAATCTACTCCCAGTGAAGATGCTGTGAAGATGGTTGAAAGGACAACCAAGGATTTAGAATATTACATAAACTTAGTTGATAGAGCAGTGACAAGTTTTGAGAGGAGTGACTCCAATTCTGAAAGATGTTCTACTGTGGGTGAAATGCTATCACACATACAGAGAAATCATTCGTGAAAGGAAGAATCTATTAATGCAGCAAACTTAAGTGTTGTCTTATTTAAGAAATTGCCACAGCCACCCCACCCTTCAAAACCACCACTCTGATCAGTCAGAAGCCATCAACATTACAGCAAGACCCTCTACCAGCAAAAACATTACACTCACTGAAAGCTCAGATGACAGCTAGGATTTTTCAGCAATCAAGTATCTCTAATTAGGTATGAACATCATTGTTTGACGTTCTATTGTACACTTAATAGAGAACAGTATAAACATAATGTTTATATGCACTGGACAACTAAAAAGTTCATTTGACTAGCTTTATTGTGATATTGACTTATTATTGCAGTGGTTGGAAACAAATCTGAAGATCTCTGAGGTATGCCTATATCACCAGAGATATGGTGGGAATATGTGAGGGAACAGATCCCAATGGTACTAAATCAGAGTGAATAGAATATTAAATGAAGCTAAATTCACTGATACAGACTCAATATGAAATTATGGTTTAGTGCAGTAGTACAGTGGCCAGGAGTGGCTCTAATAATTTACTTTGTTGGTTGCCAGAAACCTGGCTCCAAAGATGAATTATTAGAAAGTTGAGATAGTGGGGCGCCTGGGTGGCTCAGTCGGTTAAGCGTCCGACTTCAGCCAGGTCACGATCTCGCGGTCCGGGAGTTCGAGCCCCGCGTCGGGCTCTGGGCTGGTGGCTCAGAGCCTGGAGCCTGTTTCCGATTCTGTGTCTCCCTCTCTCTCTGCCCCTCCCCCATTCATGCTCTGTCTCTCTCTGTCCCAAAAATAAATAAACGTTGAAAAAAAAAATTAAAAAAAAAAAAAAG